TCTGTCTGTCTGTCTGTCTGTCTGTCTGTCTGTCTGTCTGTCTTTTCTCTTTCTCCCCTTATCTCTCTTTCTAGTTCTGCATCATTATCTCCTTCTCTCCCTTATTCCTAACATATTACATGGTTACTGTGGGCATCGTTCGTAAAGTAAACTACATTAATTGCTCTCGACTTATTCTTAAAATGAATTTAGATTTAGATGATGCTGAACGATTAGTAGAGGGTTAAAAAAATATATTGTTATCCATTCGGTACGTTGTTGGTCGTCGTCGTCGTTGTTAATGTCATTGTCATCGGTGTTGTTTTGTTTTGTTGTTGTTGCTGTTGTTCCTGCTGCTGCTGTTGTTGTTGTTGTTATTGTTGTTGTTGTTGTTGTTGTTGTTGTTATACTTTTCATGTTATAGTGCAACAGTCAGCCGTCAACTCTGTCGAATCTCTGAGAACAACAAACGAGGGAAGCAATCAAAGAAATAAAAACTATCAGGCTATTGTTATGTGAAAGTACAGTTGCTTCCCTTTTCATACACTTTGTCGATGTTTTGCGCGTTTCTCTTTGACCGCCCCCAAATGCATGTCTCTCTACTTTTGTTTGCAAATTGATAGTTGTATGTTAAGTGAGATAAACTGGAAATTCGTGAGTGGAAAGGGAGTTAAAACCATTATGTCACGAGAATTGCCAAGAACATGTTACAATGTTTTCGATATATCTAATATGTATTATTATTAGGATTCCCATTTCCTTTGAACAAACTGCTCCATAAATATAATGATAGGTATATATTCATTATTTACAAATTGTTTATGCCAAAAACATACTTTGGCACTATTTTGTTTTAGTATTTCATCTATGGGCTATCACGTAGTGAGAAAACGAGAAAAAAATTATTTGTTTGAATATGTATTGAGCGAAACAATAATTGAAACCGAAATTGCTGAATGACGCATGGTCCGCTGTGCCCTTCAATAACTTCCGGTATATTGCCCCATGCTGAAAAGGTAGCTGCCGTTTCATCAGAGTCGGAGGCAAGGGTCACTACAGTACAGCACAATGGCTCGGATTTTCAATAATTTGGCTAAACTTGGCGTTGGTCTTGCAGTAACTGGTGGAGTTTTACAGTCTGCCCTCTATAATGGTATGTATTTTTGTCGAAGAAAATGAAACGAACATGATTCATTGTAGATCTAGCCTGGAGACTGGAGTTACAGGGGTCTAGATCTTAGCTTGACTGCTAGATTTAGTACTCTAGGCTAGAGTCTAGATGTAGATCTAGATCTAGATGTAGATCTAGATAGATATAGATCTAGATCTAGATTCTAGAATGTAGATTCTAGAATCTAGATCTAGACTAGATCTAGTTTCAAGAGAGTAGATCTATCGGCGCTTTTTCGGTAGTTCCCACCCTGCAATTTTATTCACGGGTTTGGGCCACAAGTCTCACAAGAGTAGGGCGGCCCCCCTGACCTAATAAAAATAGGAAGGGGGGTTTCAGGAGGGCATGCCCCCCTGAATTTTACCATAATTTAATGTTTGCAGTTGTTAGGTTTGATATCTTAGCTCACGGCTGGATTGTACTTTACCGGACCACCCGTCTCGGCCCGTGATTACTACGCACGCCTAGCCTAACTACG